AATATAGAAATCACATTTTGAGTAAATATCATAGATTTATTAATTTTTGGTTAATTTGCATTTAATTACATAGATATAGATTGCAATTTTAATTGTCTTTATAATTTTGCAGAGTCCCCAAGTTAATTATGAGATATCTTGGCCCTTGGATGAAAGTTGCCCCCAAAGTAGCCACTTTTAGGAGCAAAAGTGGCAACTACAGCAAGTCTGGGCATTAAAGGTTCCAAAGTAACTACTTTCAAGTGAAAAAGTGGCAACTCCAAAAGCTCTTTGGAAGCATTTTGCGCGTGGCCACTATTGCCTTTCAAAGTGGCTACGCGCATCCAAAGTAGCCACTTTCAAGTTCAATAGTAACAACTCCAGAAGCTCTAGGACGCCACTTTTGGAAACATGTTGTGCGTGGCCACTATTGCCTTTCATAGTGGCTACGCGCATCCAAAGTAGCCACTTTCAAGCCCAATAGTGGTAACTCCAGAGAATTGGCAAGTTTAGGTAAATATGCGCGTGGATACTTTCAAGGCCCAAAGTGGACACTTTCAAAGGCAAAAGTTGACACTTTGCTAACATGTCCTCCACTATAAATAGATTTTAGGAATTAGGGTACGGGGACTGGAACATTTATTTTTCTTGGATTCTCTTTGCCAAATTAGAACATTTTTCTTTCCAGAGCTTTGGAGCCTTGGGTGACAGCCATGGATCCATTATAGGTTTTAATTTCCAATTTTCCTTTGATTCTCATTGAATTTACATTAATGTTGCTTACGTTTCTGTATTTCTTTCATTCATTTGTGAAGCCCATCCATATGGAGGGCTAAATTCTCTTGTAATTCCTAGTTAATTCACATGGTTCTTGAATTCTTGGGTTTAATGGCAATATTACTCTTTCTTTCCTTAGATTTATTAGCCCCAATCTCTGAATGAAATGAAATTTACATGAGGGGAACATTGCTTAATGAACCCTAAATTACCCAACGAAATTCTAATCGAAAATTGCTTAATTTTGATTAATCTTTGAGATTGTTTAATCTTAGGGATAGAGATTGGAGCCCATTAAGATGCTTAATTTTAATTGGGATGCTAAAGTTAATTTACGCTTGATAGATTAACTTAATTCAGGGGAAAAATAGGGGATTATTTAATCATTTGAAAGAATAGGGATAGAACTCATTGATTGACTAGGGATTACTCTTCTTAATTGATTGAATTTCACTAGTTTACATCTTGCTCTTGATTAAAATCTGGAAATTGACAAACCTCCCCCCAATTTACTTACTTTAAAATATATGTTTACACTTGTTCGATGTATGTTCCCAACCAAAAATTTCTTGAAGACGACCTAGGACAACACCCTAATACTACATTCATTTCTTTGCATATTTGATAAGGATTAACGACAATCTTTGTGCATAACGAGTAGTGAAATTCGTTTTATCAGCTGTAACTGCTGTTAATTGATTTAAAATGCTGAGATTTTGGCTGATCTATTATAAAGTTGCCTTAGTTGAGCTGTTAAAATAACTTTAGCGGTGTGCATCATGATGAGATATATATTTTGCATCATTATAGAGCTGAGTTACATGTTTAGGTGGGTAGACGTGTAACGGTAAGTTCATGCTGAGCTGCTGTGCTGCTGTGCTGTGCTGTGCTGTGCTGTCTGGATCTAGATACCGGAATGGGTTGCTCCCGGACTGGCTCGGTTCCTTCTGGATTACTTAGGCTGTGAAACCAGTTGGAACCATTTTCATGCTGTGCATTAGATGGGCTGGAAATGCATGGGGTTATTGCTGTGAGAAATATTTTGCTATATATATATGATTTTATTTTATTTTTGTAAGCTCACCCTTGCATTTCTTTCTCTGTCGTTGTGTGTGTGTACTGCGATAATCGTACGGTGGTACGTGAGCAGATGTAGCAGGTGTTGCATCTACTTCACAGGCTGAGGGGCCAGCGAAGAAATGTTAGAAGCTGGAGTCAAGTAATGTTGCATCAAAGTCCTTTTTCCTTTTGAGACCTTATATAGAGGGAGCTACGTAGTATAATTTTGAGTATTTTAAATATTATGAACTAAATGTAATATTATGTTGTTTTATTGGATATTTGTTGTAAGAAACTTTATTTTATTTTGAATGAGAAGTGAATTTTATACTTATATTCTCTATTATTTATTTATCTTAAATAAGTATGTAATGTAGAAACAATGTTCTCGGTTCCTTATAAAAAGGGGGTCGTGACAATAGGCCTTCTTTTTGAATTTGCAAAAAGAATGACTATTTAGCATAAGAGATTTTATGACTTTTGGGACAAAAAAGTGTAAATTTTTTCACAAATTAGATTTTTTAGAGTATGATAAAATTAAATTTATTAAAAAGAAAGGAATAAACGGAGAAATTTTTTTAAGATTTCACAATATTAGATTTTTAATTTATTTTGTGTATGTATGAGTGAGAATCATGGAAGCCAAAAAAAGAAAAAAAGCATACAAAGAAGAAGAATTAAGAAAAAGATGAAATAAGTCTCTATTTATTTTGTCGATTTTCTCACAGTGGCTTAGGGTTTCTTTATTGGAGCTCCCTCCTTCAATCTCTAATATGTTATTGACTCTGTCGGCTTCTTCCCTCTCCTCTTTGTCTCATTGTGCTCTTTTTGTCTCTCAAATTCTCTCTTTTTTTTCTCTTTTTGTTTCTTGTGCTCTCCGAGAGTGTTTGATTCTATCTATTAGTTCCCGTAAAAAACAAAAGTGTCTCCCCCTCTAAAAACCTAAACTTTCTATTTATAGCCACACTCCATAATCCTAGATCCTATTTAATAGGATTATTTATTTATTTTTTATTTAAAAAAAATGTTCCACCTTCCCATAATTCTTTATTTCTCGATAGCCACATCTCAAATTTTTCTCAACAGTCTCCTCCACTTCCCTTAAAATCTACCCACTAATCATTTTTCTCTCCACTAACCTAAATGTTTACATATTTAAAATTTAAAATCCTAACCTTGTATAGATCTAAAATTTAAAATTTTATCTACTTTTTATTTTATTTTATGATATTTTATTTATTTTTTATTTATTTTATTTAAATAGAACCTGGATAAAATTGAGTAAAAAGTTTAATGATTCTAACACATACATTCATAATAAAGAATTAAGAAATATTATAAATTATTAAAAGTATTTAAATTATTGTAAAAATTATTTAATAATTTTTAAGTAATAAATATTTTATTTTTAATATTTTTTTAAAATTTATTTATATGTATCCTGAAGCATAAATTAAGAAACTTAAATTTTTAATATATTATGCTAGACAAGTAAAATATAAAATGAAAATGCGCTTTCTAAACAATATTAAATATTACATAATGTTAAGTGAAGCGTATTTCACGCAAATTTATTTTTGTAGGATTAAAAATTATTTAGTATAATAACTTAATAAACATAAATAATAGTCAAATATAATATTTATTAAAGTTAAAGAGAATCATAAAATTTATATTTATTATTTAATGATAAAAATTTTGTTCTATTATTATATATGTACACAATATCTAATTTCTAACTTTTTAATTTTTATATTTTATTACTATTTTTTAATAATTTTAAAAATTATAAAAAATATAATCATTTAGAAATTTTATTGCTTTCTTATGAATTTTCTATAACAGTTGAGTAAAAAAAATATGACCTTAAAATTTTGTATATTAGAGTGTGATAATCAACCTCTAGCACACTATTTACCGTTGACAAAAATTTATTGAAAATAAAAATATGATTTAAATTAAATTATTAATATTTTTATTGCAAGAATAAACACATTAATATGTTAATATTAATGTAATTGTAAACGCAAATTTTTTTCTAAAATTCATCTATTTATATATTTATATATATATATATATATATATATATTAAAACTGTAAATTAGAGATAAATACATTTAACTAATTTAAATTAGATTATTAATATTTATTATTGCACAAATAAATGCATTAATATGTTAATATTAACATAAATGTGGAAACAAATTTTTCTCCAAAACTCATCTATTTTTATATATATAAAGAATAAATAATTCAAAATTGCCTTAAACATTGCAAGACTACTAAACCGTGAATATTAAAATTTAAAACTGCCTTAAACATTGTACCTTTTAAATATATTAAAACTGCAAATTAGAAATAAATACATTTAACTTATTTAAATTAAACCATTAATATTTGTTATTATAAGAATAAATGTATTAATATATTAACATTAGTACAGTTGTGAAGACAAATTTTTTTCCAAAACTCATCTACTTTTATATAGATAAAGATTTAAATAACACAAATAATAGTCAAATGTAATTTGTTTAAGTTAAAGAGAATAATAAAATTTATATTTATTATTTAATGATGAAATATTTTGTTCCATTATTTTATTATATGTTACTTGATATTTATTGTTTTCTTTTAAATTTTGTATAATAGTCGTAGAAAAAGAATACGACAGTAAATTTTTGTCTATTACAGTATGACAATTAACATCCTTTATATTATAATATTAGAATTAAGAAGGCTATCAATGCATTTTTTAATATACTTTTTATTGTTGATTAAAATTGATTGAAAATAAAAAAATTAATTTAAAAATGAGAAAGAGAAAAAATTATATAATTTTTATAATTTACAATAAATTTTATTTAATAATAAAAAGTGTACTATAAAGAGTTTTTTGTGAGCATTATTTTTATATATCTTAACCACAACTTTAAGGTAAGCCCAAAGTTAAAACTAAGAGGTTATTTAGAAATAGGAAGTTTTTAAAGGAAGAAAGAAAAAGAAAGATAAATTTTATATTTTAAAAAATATATTTAAAATTGATATTTATATAAAATAAAAGATATAAATTAATATATTGATATAAACATAATATATTGATGGTACGTTTATAATTAAGCAAGAATGAAATCATTAGCAAACAATAAACTGGGGAGAGAGTACACAAGAAAATTAAAGAAAATTTATTAACGATGCAAATATTTAGATATAGAAATAATCATTTGAGCAAAGAGATCGACAGCAGATAAATATTTTGGGAGCATGGAAGGGTCTAGAAAAGGTGACCCTCCTACGCGACAATCTTCAACATCTAATACTATTGCAAGAGCAGCCACACCCACATTTTGATAATCTCCCTTCTTTAACAACTCTTGGCTACGCTCAAGATCGCTGAGGGCATCCTTACTCAAATGTTCTAAACATACTTTGTAATGTTTCTGAGCTGTCGGATTCTTTGCACTTTGAGAAATAAGAGCATTGATTAATTTTATTGTGTTGGTAATGCTGAGACGTTCCCCATCAATGGTGTGTTCTATAAGTTCATAGAAGGTCGCATTAAGATGTGGGCTTAGAAGAGTAACACAAAATGAAGGATTATTGGTTTCCTTACAAATAGCATTCACTTCCTCTTTTGAGATTGCATAGGATGATGCTACAAGTAAAAACAACGTTGTTACAAGGGAAGAGAATTTGTAACCCATTGATTCTTCTTCCTTTGCTTCTTTTGTTTTGTTTCAAGGTTGGTTTGATGTATTCAACACTAAACCCATTTTATAGCTCTCAATTGAAAACATAGGATTTGGATCTAATTCATACATATAAATGCTATTTAATGTTTATTTAAAAAAATTAATAACGAAATCCCATTATAATAATAATAATTAATTTGAATATTTTTAATTCATCTTACTATTTACTACAGATTTTCCAATTGATTATATGAAAAATATTAAATGATTTTTATCTTTTTAAAATAATAAATGTATCAATTGTTTAATATGTTCTTAGAAAAATACGATGGAAAATAATTAATAGTATTTTTATTAAAATTATAACATGACATTAATAAATTTAATATGTGATTAGTCCTTATAAAATCTTTTATTAGAATTTAATTCTTAAAATATTAAGAAATTAAGATTTAGTCTATATTATTAAATTATTTAATTATTTAATATTTTTATTAATATTTACAAATAAATTTCTAAATATATTTTATATATTTACAAATAAGTCTCTCTTCTCTCCTTTCTCTCTACTATCCACTTCTTCTCTAACCTCCATACGACTCCCTACCACCTATCTTACTTGTTTCCTAACCCAACTCTAATCTCAGTTGGTGTGGGTAATGCAATATTGAAGATTTTAACAACATTATCAAAGAATAAAGAAGGTTTTGTGTTGGAATTTGAAACAACACCAACTGAAAAGTGTGAAAAAAAAAGAGAACATTCTTACTGGTGGAATGAAATAAATGTAGCTTGAACAAGAAAGTTTTTTTATTTTTTGTTGTTGTCGAATTCATTGAGAGTGCATAGTGAGAATAGTGAGTTTTGGGATTCATTGTTTAATTATATTAATTAGGTTTATGATGAGAGAGTTTTTTCTTATAATTACTATACGAATACATAATCAGAAATAAAATAAAAATAATATTAAATTAAAATAGAATACTTTAAACAAAAATAATAATATTTACTAATTATCATAGTATATTCTATAATTCTTTTTGAAAATTTTTTAATAATAAAAAAATCTTTGAATTAGAGATACAATAAAATAATTTAAATAAAAATTAAAAAATAATTTAAATTAAATATTAAATCATATTTTATATTATATGTATCCTAATTATGCTTAATACGAGAAAATTTTTCTATAATTACTCTAACCATGTATAATCAGAAATAAAATAAAAAATTAAATTAAATCAAAATAGAATACTTTAAACAAAAATAATAATATTTTCTAATTATTAGAGCATAATCTATAATTCTTTTTGAAAACTTTATAATAATAATTTTTTTTTTGAAAGAGTTATAATAAAATAAAAATTTTGAGGTAATAGATAGTATTTCATTTTGAAAACTTTCTAATAATAAAGAAAATCTTTGAATTATATATACAATAAAATAATTTAAATAAAAATAGTAAATAATTTGAACTAAACATTAAATATGAAATAATTGTGTTAAGCTTAATTAAGAAGCATATAATATAAAAGATGATTTAATATTTAATTTAAATTATTTGTTATTTTTTATTTAAATTATTTTTTATTGTATATATAATTCGATGATTTTTTATATTATTAAAATATTTTCAAAAAACTATTATTTTATAATTTCTCTCGACAATTATTTTTTATTTTTATTAAAGCTCTATTTTAAAATTTTTATTATTATTGTAAAGTTTTCAAAAAGAATTATAGAATACACTATAATAATTATTTTTAATATAAAAAATATTAAACAAAAATTTTAATTATTTTAAAAAATTTTATAAAAAATAAATATAATAGTTAAAATTAATTTATATATGACTTTAAATATTGTAAATTTTAGTAATAGTAATAATTTAGTTATAAATTAATAAATATATTTGTGTGTTACACAAATTTATTTATATTGTTATTAAAATACTTATTTTAAAAAATAAATTAAATAAAAAATATAACAAAATTTTTTTATTAATAAAACAACAATTCTACTTGATACAACACTGAGAATAATTTTTCTTTTAGATTGAATGACTGTATGGTATTCTAAATAAAAGTTTTGTAATCATTATCTTTCAATCTATCTTTCTAGGTCATATTTCAGAAAGCATTGAAATAGTAGATACTATTTTAGAAGAATTTTATTTTGAACAAACAACCTATACTTTTTCTTATATATATATATCAAATAAAATACAATTTTTTTCTCTTTAAGATTTAAAAAATACAATGAAAGACATAGATAAGTTAATATATCATAATATAATATTATAATTATTAATTATAAAATAAAGAATAATGACTTTATAAATTTTTTATGATAATGTTTAAATTAATTTAAAGTTTAAAATTAATTAGTATAAATTAACAGTATTACTAATAATATAAAATAAAGAAAAATAACTTTATAAAATTGTTATGATAATATTTAAATTAATTTAAAGTTTAAAATTAATTAGTATAAATTAATATTATTACTAATAATATAAAATAAAGAAAAACAACTTTATAAAATTTTTATGATAATGTTTAAATTAATTTAAAGTATAATATTAATTAGGATAAATTAATATTATTACTAATAATATAAAATAAAGAAAAGAAACTTTATAAAACTTTGATGGTAATGTTTAAATTAATTTAAATTTTAAAATTAATTAGTATATATTAATATTATTACTAATAAAATTATTAATTATTTGAACAAAGAAATAACTTTATAAACGTATTTTTCTTTCATATTAACATTAATTAAAATTAAATTTTTTATTTTTATAATAAACTTTATTTAAATTTCAAGACTTTTCCTTAATTCTATCAGTTATCAATTTTTAATAATAAAATTAAAAATAAACATTAATATTAAAATTCAAAGTTATCACAAATAATGCACCTCTTGAATATATCAAAACTGTTACACAAAAAATTGCACAACAGATGCATATTTTGAGAGCATGGAAGAGTATGGAAACAGAGGGTCAGATGGTGACTCCTGAAATTAGGGATGGGTATGGGTAGGGTACTACAGTACCCATCCCCATACCCGCGTTTTAAAAAAATACCCGTACCCAGCCCCATACCCGCGTGGGTATGAACATTAATCCTCATACCCGTACCCTCTTGGTACCCGCATACCCGTCTTGTACCCATTACCCGCGTTTGTTTGAGAAAAAAATATTTATAAAAAAAAATATGTTTATATAATTTCACATAAGTAACATAATAATACAAAAATTCAATATGTAGTTGTCGAACAAAGTACAAATATAGATAAAAAAACAAATATTTAAATATCATAAATGTTAAATGTATCTTAATATAATAATTTTCTAAATTAAAATTTTTAGAAATAATAAGCAAAACTAAACACACAAGTTATTTGTCAGTGATAATCCTATCTTGTGTGAGATTTGATTGCTTAGTAATGTCAGAACGATAACAAAATAGATCTGTACAATGGTTGTCCTTCTGTGGGATCACTTAGTAACCTCTTGTGACGGCATTAACAACTAACTCTAATGAATAACATTTCATAGTTATTAAGTTTTAGTGAGACAGACATTGAGAATGAAAATAGAGTTAGAGTAGAGAAGTTCAATACTAACAATAGAAAGTTGATACATAAAATATTTTTTTTAACTTTTGAATTTTAAATTGTAAGAAAAATAATAGATTTAATTAAAATAATATAATATAATATATATATATATATATATATATATATATATTAATACTAGTATTTTTTAACTCATATACTATACGAAAGTATTTTATCAAAAATATAAATTTTTGAAAAATTATTTTAGTGAATTAAATATTTCTAATGTATATAAATTTAAAAAAAAAGAATTTGAATAAAAGATAAATAGTTACAATAAAATTTTATAATAAAGAAATATACGTGTATATTAAAAAAATTATACTTTTTTATCTTAAAAAAATTAACAAATAAAAATTAACAATAATTTTTTATATTTATATCTTTTCAAAAACTTCTTTGAATGTGAATAAATAGTAAGAATAATATTATTTAGATTCAATAAATTATAGTTGTGCTTGTAATACATATGTTACATAGAAAAATATTATTTTAAATTAAAATATAAAAATAAAATTTAAATATTATTAATAAATAATAAGTTTACGGTAATAGTAGGTGATTGTAAAATTTATAAAATATTTATAATATATTTATTATTTATCATTCACTTTATGATTAAAACATCAATATAATTTTATTAACAAAAATATTTTATGTGTGTCATATATAAATAATATTTTAAAAAAAGTCAATCTCATATTAACTATGTAATAATTAAATTGTGTTAGCCGAATTAAATGATATAAAATAGTAAATAAATTTTTCTATTAAAAATATAAACCAAAATAAATTTTTTGGTTTACTTTATTATTAAATATATTTTTATATTAATCTTATATAACTTCACATAAGTAATATAATAATACAAAAATTCAATTCATAATTGTAGAATAAAGTTCAAGCATATATATATATATGCGGGTATGGGGCGGGGTGGGTACTTAGATACCCATACCTGCACCCATCCCCATTAAAATTTGCGGGTTTTTACCCACACCCATACCCGTACCCGTAAAGCGGGTAAATACCCTACCCATTGTGGGTAAATTTTGCGGGTGCCCATCGGGTACTTTACCCATTGCCATCCCTACCTAAAATGCAATCTTTAACATCTGCTTCTATTGCATCAGCAACAATACTCACACCTTGATAATCTCCTTTCTTTAACAACTTTTGACTATACTCAAGATCATCAAGGGCACCCTCACCATAACTAAAATGCTCCAAACATGATTTGTAATGGTTTCGTGCTGTTTCATTGCTTGCACTTTGAGAAATAAGCACATTAATCAATTTTATTGTGTTGGTAATGTTGATGCATGCGACGTTAATGGTGTACTGGGTAAGGGTATAGAAGTCTGCATTAGGCTGTGAACTAAGAAGCCTGATACAAAATGAAGGATTATTGGTTTGCTTACAAATAGCATTCACTTGCTCTGCTCAGATTGCATAAGATGATGCTACAAGTAAAAAAACAACACTGTCAAACTTAACTAAATCTTATATATTTTATTAAATAAAAACTCACCTTCTATATATAAATTTATATTTTGTACCTTTAACAAATGTAACGTCCTTATTTTATTCAAAATCATAAAAAATAAATTATTAATTAAAAATAAATAAGTTATTTTAGTCGAGTATAAAACGTGTAACTATAGAACATTTCATTTATTTTACTTTATACAAAAAAATTTCGAAAACAAATCCATGAAAATTAAACAAGTTAAAAAGGAAACATGAAATAATATTAATAAATATATGGTTTTGAAGAGTTTAAAGTGGACTAATTTTATCAAATATACATCAAAATACATTAGGACTCATTTTACCAAATTTACAAAATATAAAATATGATAAGTTTTAATGAACAATATATCTATCATATGACCAGAGAGACACTAATTATATAGTAAAAAAGTTACATAGAATTAAAGTAAAAAAGAGATCCATTTCACTTTTATGTATTACTCTTATATTTGATATTTTTTCCAACAAGAAACCTATATAATATCAGTGTATAAATGACTTTAGTTTGGATCTATACCAAACATATCCATGGAGATACCAATGCATAATTTATAGCATAATAGAAAGATTTGTGCAATTTATAAAAGAGAATGAGAAACCTAAAATTCAAGCTTACGCATTTCCTACCCAATAAAAAAAAATAAAACACTCTATGCCAATGCAGAAATCATTCAGATAATGAAGCCTTTAGCCATCACCTTTATAATCCTCATTTCAAGAATCCAATGTTATTTGTTGTGGCAGGATTTGACGTTATACAGTTTAGACGGAGCCACGTAAAGTGAAGGTAAGATTGTGATTGAAGAAGAGAGTGTAATGATATGAGTATTTTTAACATAAGTGAAAGTATCTAAGCACAGCAAACCCATCCAGATTCTCTGCAGTTGTGAGAGAATTTAGTTTTATTTTTTCTTAAGTGAATCTATTTTTCCTTAATCAAAAATCAAATTGAATGTCCAATTCAGATACTACCAGAGAGAATTCAAATCCCAAAGGAACCAAGCACGAGAAAATATTAATATTACATCAATTGCAAATCTCTAGAATCACCCAAATACTACATTTTCTTCCTTTACCGAGTATTAAATTAAAAAGCAACACTAACATGTTTCGAGTACTCAAATGCATTTCTTTTATTTTTTTCATTATAAAAAAATTAGTAAATAGTTTTTTATTAAATATTCCATTAAAGTTGTATTGAAATAATCAGAATGCATTAATGACATTTCAAAATAAATTTTTGTTCTCTGTATATACATCGGTTAATATTTATTTTTTAAAAAAGTTAAAAAATAGCATGTTACTCCAGGATTTTATTTGTGGGATGGTTAAGAGATGGTTGTTTGATCATAATTTTGGATTCGTTGAGAAAGAAAGAGGAGAATGGGGGATTATCACTTTGTGTACAAAGATGTAGAAGGAGCATCTACTCAATGGGATGATATACAAAGAAAGCTTGGAAATTTGCCTCCGAAGGAAGCCGCATTCAAGCCCCCTCCTTTCACCCCTGCATCTGATTCCGATACCCAACCTAAAGACAAAGCCTGGCTCGATTCCAAAAACCCGGATGAACTCGAGGAGCTAGAAGACGATCTTGACCTTGACGATGATCGTTTTCTCCAAGAATACAGGTGTTCCTCGAAATTCACCCTTGTATTTTGTGGGTTGTTTTTGTTTGCCTCCAAGGTGATTGAAAATAAGTGAATTTTAATTATTTTTTTGTAACTTTGTTCATTTCTCATGGGGCTCTATGTATTGTTCTGGGTCGTATACTTTGTGTCGTTAGTTGTCTGTATTCTTTTGTTCATTTTCTTTGTTCTTAACACGGATTGGTTGGGATTTGTTGTAAATTTTAAGGTTTTGGAGCGAATTAATGTTTAAAAGCCCTTTTGTTCCATTCAATTTCTGATGACTAGTTCATTCTGAGTTAGTGAGTTTGCTTGAGAAGAGGGAGTAAATGAGTTATAAGATTAAGGGAAAGCAAAATTAGATACTATTTATTTCACTTGTTTATGATAGGAAGAAGAGGTTAGCTGAGATGCAAGAGGCAGCTAAAGTCATAAGGTTTGGATCAGTGATTCCCATATCGGGATCTGATTTCGTTCGAGAGGTTTCACAGGCTCCATCTGATGTTTGGGTGGTTGTCATCCTTTACAAAGAAGGGTATGCTTTAGCAATTTCTTTAATTTTCCAAAATCTATTTAATTTCTTAGTGATGTATTATGTCTATTGTGATTTTTGTGACAGGATTCCTGAATGTGCACTAATGATGCAAAGCATTGAAGAACTGGCTGTAAGATATCCTGCAACAAAATTTGTCAAGATAATATCCACTGACTGCATTCCCAACTACCCGGATCGTAATCTTCCCACTTTGTTGGTGTACAACAATGGAGCAGTCAAAGGAAATTATGTGGGTTTGCATAGTTTTGGGCGAAGATGTACTCCTGAAGGTAAATATGCCTCAGAATGCCACCCTTATTTGCATTGTTTTAGTATGAAGGGCATATTGCTCAAGCCTTAGTCCTCAAAATTATGATTAATTCTTAGGAAGTTGTAATAGAAACTCTTTTCTAAATCTGCTCCCTTGTTATCTAATGACTCTACCTATCTTAAATATCAGGTGTTGCATTAGTCCTGTGCCAATCAGACCCTGTTCTTAATGATGGCCACAATAGGGATGAGCAATCAAGAAAAGCTGTCATTGAAGGAGTCCGCAAGAGGTTTATAGAGAAAGTTGTTGCCGATCATGAAGAGGATGATGATGATTACTCGAGTGATTAGCATTTTGTTTTTAGGGGTTGGGGGGGTTTATGTGTCTGTCTTTCTTTCAAGTAAGATGTCTCCAATCGATGAAGTAAAGCAATACATCTTGTGGAGTTTTATTTTCCACAACTTTGCTTCTATCCCTCTATGTAGAGATTTTCTTTCTTTTTTTCCCCTTCCCTGTGCCTTCTAATTGTCCTTATACAGCAGGAGGATAAAGTTTGGTGGTTGTTATTTTAGTCTCATCTAAGTTAACGTGTACAAGTATGTTGTGTGATTCTCATTTCCTTGTCACTAGAAAGTAATTTAATTCAGGTTTGCTTTTACATTTTGCCATTATTTTTGTTAGCATTATAAATAAGGAGGCACCAATCGAGTTTTCTACATTATGGCTTTGATTTTTTTGTTTTAAGACTAATGTATGATATTTGTACAAAAGTAAAAAATTCATACAAGTTTTAGAAGATCATATCATTTGCAAATAAAACGTTTTGATTTGAAAGGCAAAAACTTGTTTCATCAGGGGTGTTTTTTGAAATTGATCCTTCAAAACATTTTTTTGGAAGATCGTATATCAGTCGGATTTTGCATGTTTCAGTTCATTGAGTTGTAATTGCTAGCTCTTATTTGTTATATAGTAAATGGCCATAGTGATGTTTTTTTAATATTGTTGCAGAGGATTGGGTGAATAAGTTCATGGCTAAGAAGTTGTTAGATGAGTAGTTGTTAAGAAGGGAAAACATGTTATTAGAGTTGTTGAAACAGAAGGAATCGAGAGACGATGAGAGAAATCAGTGCGTCTATGATGCACCGTTGAGTTGAGGATTCTATTTATAATGACGAGAAAATAATTATAAATTTTTCTTTTTACAATTTATTACAAATAACATTATGTAAATAATAAATAAATGCTCTTTATTTGTTTATTAGTATTTTTAACATTCTTTTTTAAGTTGAGACATTTAAATCATATGCCCAAACTTGTTTTATATATATAACTAATTAATAAAAATATCCAAATTTATTATTATTATGGGGTTTTGTTATTAGTTTTTTTAATATTTTATTCTATGTGCACATTAAATAGTATTAATGTTATGAATTTTAAATGAGAGTTATAAAAAGGGAGGAGAAATAATAGGTTACAATTATGACACTGTTGTTTTTATTTGTAGCATCAGCTTATGCAATCCCACCAGAGTAAGAATTTGTTATTTGTAAGCAAATCAATAATCCTTCATTTTATTACTCTTCTAAGCTCACAGCCTAATGCAAACTTTTATGACCTTACGCAATACACCATTAACGTGGCACGTTTTAATATTACCAATATAATAAAATTAATGTGCTTATTTCTCAAAATGCAAATAATCAAACAACACGAAACCATTACAAATCATATTTGAGACATTTTAGTTATAGTGAGGATGCTCTTGGTGATCTTAAATACAATCGAGAATTGTTAAAGAAAGGAGATTATCAAGGTGCGGATATGGCTAATGATGCAATAGAAGCATATGTTGAAGATTACATTTCAGGAGAGTCACCATCTAACCTTTCTTTTTCGGACCCTTCTATGCTCCCAAAATATACATTTGTTTTGGAATTACTTGCTCAAATGATTATTATCATTATATCTAAATATTTGCATTGTCAATAAATTTTCTTGTGGACTCCCCCAATGAGTTTATTGTTTGCTAATGATTTCATCCTTACTTAAAGTACTTTCCTCTTATTTCTCACGAAAACCAAAAAATTCTACTAATATATTATTTAATATACTACAAGAATTTTTATGTAATTTTTTAGACACTACCAAATTATAGGTAAAACTCATGAAATTGATAATGGAATTCAAACAAGACTTGTTAAATTAAAACATTCCTTGTCTTCCTTTTACAACAACCAAACTATCTCACTCAGCAATGTCAGCTACGTGAATTACGTGATTTCATTGAATTTAGTCAAAAATTAAATTTTATATGCTTCAAACTTTACCCTAATAAAAATAAATCAAATTTATTAACCTCACTCATTTATGAGTAATTTTAAATACTTGAAAGCAATATTTTTTTTTCTTGAATATTTATTACAATTTGTATATAATAAATATAGTTTTCTTTAAAAAATCAACATTTTATTTATTTTTAACGAAACTGGTGTCGACATTTTTTTAAAATAAAATGCCTAAATGTTTCAGCTAAAGGTGGGAGGATAAAAATGATACGATTAGTGAAATTGGAAGTGCCACACACTTGAGTTTAATATCTGAAAGCAATTATTTGAAGATACAACGTTACAGACAATTCGTGTGAAACTTGCAAGTTATAGCCCTTCTGATGTTCATTAAGACGTTTTGTACAGCTAATCGCAGTGCCTATTCCGTGTTCACTCTTCAGTAAGAGAAGCGTCAACATTCACCCAACCATTATGTTGGACGGGGAGAATCACAAAACTTGACTGGAAATTTGGTATACTTTTATAAGTTTGAGTGACTGGCTTGAACTTTTACTCTATGCCACGAAGTGTTTAATATGCCTCTGAGGTTCCAAATGTCTTCAACCTTTTCAGGTTGGACATTTGCAGCAGAATCTACCTGCAAATTAGTCAAAAGCACTAATTATAAAGAGATGTAAATGAACCCACTGGGATATAAATTGCTCTTTTGATATGAAATAATTATAGGTGGAGGATTGAAAGGAAATAAATTTGAGTAAAAGTTGTTTTATAATTTTTAAGGCAGTGAAAGTGGAAAAATTAAGAATGTCTCCAGCAAGAAATTTAAGCCATGTAACATCGACTTTAAGTCAATTATCCAATTCACCAAGTCATATGAACTGAAATTAAGCCAAAATATGTCAAAGCTAAGTATATATTAATAATGAATAAGATTGTCATTTCTTCTCATTCTCTGATCATAACAATCGTGAAAAAAGAAGAAGCAATTCTTACTTTAATAATTTCATTTTTCTACTGTTTGTTCCAAATCACAAGGATTCAGTTTATGCATCAGGCTCTCCAAACTCAAATGGAACATATTTGAGTTCCCTATCGTGTCAATTTCTTCTCCTCAAAATGTTTTAGCTTTCATATATTATGTGATCTATATATGGATTTAAAAGGTTGTCAAGGGTCAAATGCCATTAGATGCTACACATTCACCGAAAAGTGGACATAATATTTCATTCCAATTAGAATTAGATTGGGTATGATTCCACTTCAAAAGTTAGCTCAGGAAAGAGGAGTGGGAGGGAGGAGATATCCAAGTCTTTTAAGGGCTACTTTGGCCATATTCTTTGCTGATGCACATCTGAACAACCCCTTTTTATGCTCAAGATTGAGCATTTGGAGTGTGTAAGAATGGATATTTACAAGAGCGCCAACATCAAGATTGGATTGTCATGAACCAACTATCTCAGAAGCTTAAACTGTTAGGTAAAGAGACACATGAATGATTTTGTATAGTATTTCTGATGCCCCCTCATGCCAAAACCTTTAGGGCTTGAAGTGTAGATAATACATATGCTCAGTTATCTTATGCTTAAATTCAACTTTTATTAGAAGAATGAGAATTAAAAAGATTGAATTCTAAACTATTTGGTCATAGAGGCTTTTTGATACTGTGTCTTAAAATAACAATCCAAAATCTTAAGCTGTTAGGTGAAGACACATGAATGGTTTCATATTATATTTTTTTAGCAATTCCATTCACAATGCAGTTAATCTGGAATTGGTAACACTTTTAAGTTAACCACTGTATAATTTGAATGACCCATATCTTATCATCATGATCTTGCATGATATATCAGTACATGCTAGCCATCAGAACAGGTTTACGAGCTCATTAGGCAAGATACTCGAATCATGACGACCAGAAAATACATGACATACCGCTTTTGCAATAATCTCAGTGCTGTGAAGAATATCAGCTGCGACCTCAAATAGCACCCATGCCCATTTGTCACTGCTGGCATGCTCTGATAAATAGGGAACATTGCTTTTCTGAAATCTTGAGGCTTCCATCCAAGTTTTGCCTCCGTCAACAGAAACATCTACTCTCTCAATGCCTCTGCCCCCTCCAGATGCTGCATATCCACTAATTTTTACCTGCATAAGATATGGAAGAGTAGGATTTAAGTTAATTACCCATTCGATAGATGTAAGGTAGTTTTGTTTCAGTTGCTTGTTTTATATTGGTAAACAAAGGCATAATGTATACTTCCCTGGCAAGTAAATTTGGAAATCTAATATCAATGGTTTGCACTTGGACAAAGAGTTGAGAAAAAGAAAGGACTGACAACCCATCAATTGGTAAGAACAAATGCAAAATTTCGATAGGTTTCTATTGAACATTTCATTTCTGCACGGAAAGGATGTCTATTCAATTTCAGAAAACTTAAATGTTATTTCAATATACTTCTGAGGAAAATAAAAATAATTATCTCAGTACTGAAAATAGATTTGGGAACATCAATATATTTTGAAGCAAATGCCCACATACAATGACAATTAAAAACTTGAAAAGCTTAGTCAGAGTTCCAAACGTGCAAGCCATGTAAAGATGATCGAGATAAGAAGAAAATGAAAGCAAAATATACATGTTATTGCATTTCATAGTGAATAACAGGCACACATTCATGTAATTCACACATTCATGAATAGCCCTCTTACACACATGTTAAAAAACTAACCTTCCCAGGCTTTATTGTACTCACGTCTTCCAGAGAACATATAACACACTGCCACAAAGAAGAAATCAGTGACAAAAGGCTTGCTTAAAAAAAATATAAACTTATTCTGCTTGGTGCTCAGCTAACAATAAATTAAATGTTCAAAAATTTCTTTAAAAAAACTATATTGCTCAAAAGTTAGGTAAGGCAGAAAGAGTACAATAATCAAAATACCTGAACAGGGAAATCCATTTGGGGTCTCCTGGTTGACCAATCGATATTATCCCAATTCACAGATGGTGGAAACATTTTATAGTCCTTTTGCATGAAGAAACCCTGATACATGACAATGTGAAGTTCTATGGTGTTTTGAAAAGGGAAATTTTGGTATTTCAAACCGTTCTATAGTAGTATATATTAGACCTGGCATTCTTCTGCAATGATATTGATATCTTCAAGCCATTTAACAGACCGGGCTCCAATGACACCAGGAACAACCACACGTAATGGATATCCATGATCCCTATTAAGAGGCTGGAGAAAGGAAATGGAATATTACTGAATACAATAATATAACATCATAATATATCTCACCAAATAAAGCCAAAAAATGACATCCAATTGTAAATACCCACTAATAGTACAATGGATAGTTTTTAGCACAAAGGAATGATAGAGATTAAAAGTGTTTATGATTGGATGACAAAGGTATAATAAATACTACTCATGCATCTCCTTGGATGTTCATCTTTTTGGCTACCATGGTTAACTTTTTCTGGGCTGGAAAGATTTAACCATGAGAGGCCATGGTTTTTAAGCCTTACTTTTGTGACTTAGAAGATTCCTTTTCCAATGGTCTTTCTTTGCTGGTTTTTGGCCATTTTCTAGGTGCTCTCTAATAGGAAAATTCAGGCCAACAAGCCCCTTTTTATGGCTAAAAACCGTGCGGTTTCATAGGTAAATTAGTCATTCTAATTTTGCCAAAATTCTTGGAAGATTCTATAGTTCCAATTGGCTCTTTTCCTTAATTTTTTGTCTAATATAATTGGAGTCTAATTATGGCTTATTTCTTCTAGGCTTTCTAAGTATTAGGAGATAACTTTGCATGAGTACTTAGGTTAATTTCTTGCAAGTAATCTTTCCTTGCAATTTGATCATCTATAGGCTTATTTCAGAGTTTCTCTAGTAATGGATTTTAGTTAAGGTCTTCTAATCAATGTATTTGAGTTCTAATAAATTCTAATGCCTAATGGGGTCTTCACTTAGTTAATTGAATCATGGTCTTGAGGTTTAAGGGTTTTCCCAAAGTTCTCAAAGGTCTCTGTAATCGGTATTGATTCAAATCCTTGCTTTGCTCCAGTGTGGGCTTATTTACCAATATTCATTTGTGTTTGGTTGGTTTCGGAAGTTCTAAATTATGTACTTAATAATTATCTACTTAATTATCTATTTGGAATTTAGAATTTGGGAACAAAACAATCAAGGAATTTATTTATAATGAAATTACGGTGTTACAGCCCCCTTGATTGCTCAAATGTAAGCAATACAGACCCTTTCTTCTCTAAGACCTTCAATAAAACCTCTCTATACACCCCATCTTGTGCCTTTTCCCAAACAGGAAAGACCATATGTAAGTCCTTTTCGTTCTACCATTATCGACATCAATCATTGTAGTAAGTACATACCTTTCACATGTAATGTTTAATAGAATTAAAATAAGTTATCTATTGCAGCCTCATGGGCTATTTTTTTTTTTTTTTTTTCAGATGTTCATGTGTTTTGAAAGTTCAACAGGAATAACCATTTTTTTTGTCACTTAACAGATTTGAGATTACATTTTAGCAATTTCGACAAGCAATGGGTTTATCCAGAGTCCTTTGATGAAATTTTCAACTCATGTAGGGGCCTCAAGAAGAAGAGAAACCCAAAATTTTTGGGACAGTTAGATTTGACAAAATGTTTTCTATATTCACAAATAACTACCAAGAATGCTATTTTGTTTTCACTTTGCTTCTTAGTTTCAAATCTTTGTACAAAAAATAGTGAAAACAGAACAAAGTGAAAACAAGGTGACATATTAACATGTTCATAATTATTTGCAAGAACAGCAAATGAAAATAACTAGGCTATTAAATTACAAGCTTCTTGCATAGTGATGACATTGGATAGGATCTAAGTAGGGTACTGTAGCACTCATCCGTGTCCTAATACTTGGGTAACAACTTTGATCTCTATCCCCATACAAGTTGAGTACCTAAATTCCCATATTCAACTCTGAAAACAGTTCTAATGGTGCTAATTTGGAAATTATAGTATCTTGCTTGTAGAAAGAAGACAGGAAAAAGGTATCACTAAAAACCATAATATATGTATGCTTATGTCATTATTCAGTCATAGAACATTGGTTGGAATTTTTCTGATAGATCATTTTATAGCTAAGTTATGTGTGAGGATTGATGGCATATTATGATCATGAAATTCTTTTGGATAACATACCTACAAATGTTCAAATTGCATGAAATTTCATTACACACACACACACATATATATGGAGAAAGATCTTCTCACACCGGTGTAAAAACTCTTACACTCAATCTACGCCCTTCAGTTAACTTACATCTAATGGGTTATAATTTATTACTTCACTGACCGTTAGATATAAGTTAAATGAAGTGCTCAGATCGAGTGTAAGAGTTTTTAGGGTTACACCAGTGTGAGAAGATTCTTCCCTATATATATATATATATATGACCATGAAAATAGTATAAGATAATTCAATAGTTGGATTGATTAATTTTGTATTCCGTAAAAAGTTATTTAAGAGGTGTAAGTATACAAGCTTAACATTTGGTATCAATGGATCCTAACCCTTATTAAAATACATAAAATGAATGAAAACCAAGATAGAAAAACTTTGAAAGTTTATCACTGCAAGAAGATAGCAAACAAGAAGTCAAGTTCACTTACTTCTCCATTCATTTCATAAGCAAGTAGAACATCTGCTTCAGGATTTGTGGCCTGGCTAAGTGGTATTGAAGCCTTGTATGGGCCTCCATTCTCCTCCTATTTTTTTAACATTAAAAGGAATCAACAGAATACTTTTGAACAAAGGATATGCTACAAATAATCAAAAAGAATCCAAGATCTCTAAAATAAAAATACAAGCCACAATCATCACCTTACACTTATCAACGCTTACAAACTCAACATGTCTTCCACCAAATTGAGTGACACTAGTCAACTTTTGAATTCCAACAAGTTCAAGAACATCAGACAATTTGGCACCACCCCAAACAGCTGAGAAAGGCAAATATAATGAAACAGTGATTAGAATATGAGACCTATTAAAAATCTTATTTTGTAGGTAAGCATCAAGGGGCATCCAAATTTCTCGTTACTTGTACTTCAATTCTCCCCCCCCCCCCCCAAAAAAAAAGTAAAGTCCATCATCTACTCAAGGTGAAACATAAAAAACAAAAGCTCCTTCAGTCCTTGATCACATTATTCCAACAAAATTGACAATACTAACCATTTCCAATAGCAGAAACATCCCAGCCAACTCCCTTCACCGTTTTGGTCTTGCTCATAGCAGTCCTTCGATTACCTGCACACTGAGATAATTCATTTGCAGAATTTAACCATCCCATCATCAACAGAAAAAAGCCAAAACAACCTTGGCTCCAATTAAGTCCAAATTTTGCAAGAGAACACACCTGCAAAGTGGCAGTGACATTATACTTTGGAAGCGTCCTGTCACCAAATAACACAGTCAGTGTCCCTTGTATAACAAGAAAAATACTAAATAGCCAGAGTTATTTTCCAGAACAGGTTGGCATTGTAATTAACTCTTGCTACCACTTTGACTTATCCAACCTCGATGAGAAAATAATTAAACAAGTATAATGCGTATGTCATATACTTGCCAAAAGATGGCAAATTGACGATTACGCCCATGTTCTCTGAATAAGAATTTAGTTGTCAAGTTGGTTCTCAAACACATATTTTGTTGGTCAAATTAATTTAAAGTTTCATGACATAGAGGGTGTTTAGAAATCTCTTTAGCTTATTCTAATAAGCTTCATGATCAAATTTTTCATAAATTCTTAGGTAATAAGAGTTTATTGAATAAATGCCTAAGTTGTTCATCAAAAATCACCCATACTGACAAACTTGACCCAAGGAATACATTCATATCATGAACCTTGGGTATATTATAGTCTCCATCACTCCACGAGTCGTTTAACTAACAGTTTATAATTACGGACTCATTCGACTATCCCTTCAACTCAACATTCACCCTTGAATATCAGCAAAACCTAGCTGAATTATTGGACTAGTGCACAAGAGTAACGATTGGCAATCTGGGAAAGTTGCAAACAAGCACTAACCAGATATCTTTCATGAAAAGCTGTCTGGGATGCTCCACCAACCCGGATATGAACACGGAGTATCTGTTCCTCGCAACCAAACACGACACAGAGCAAGTTAAACCTTTTTTCTTATTAAAAATCATCATTATTATTATCATCATCATCGTCATCATCACTACAAGATTCAATATATTCATGACTTGAAACTTAAATTATTTGATTGTATGAGGATGAATAAAAGCGTTGTCAGGGAAAGATGAGAAAGAGAGGGACCTGTTAATGTCTTGAACGATGGGAATTGGGCCGTGATTCCTCTTATAGAAGAAATCGGAGGGAGTAACGTAGGAGAGAGTCAAGATAGAACGAGGAGGCTCGGCATTGAAGGGTTCCTGAGAGAATAAAACGCAGCGTTTAGGGGAAATGGGGAAGGGAAAGAGAGAAGAAAGATAGAGAGGCTTGCCTTGGCGTTGATGAGAAGAGAAGGGTGACGAGGAGGCTCTTCGGAATAATCAGAGGGTGCACTGAGTCCTCCCATTTTTACTATCAATGCGTCTCTGAAACGTTGAATGAGAATGAAAGTGCGTTTGTGTCCCAATCATGAATCGAGTTTATGGTTACAACATGTTTATGTTCATCGAGTGTTCCACCACTCTCTTGACGCCGACGATATCAATCATGCTATGCCTCCACGTGGATTTCTACTATTTTCTGCGCCCCAATTGCCATATCAGAATCAGACTCATGCTTGGGCAATTAATTCAAATAATTCATACCAAAAATCATCTTTTAAATGCTTTATTTACAAAACTTAATATTTATAAAATTCCTTAAAAAAGATAAATTTTATAAAATTTCATATAAAAACAAAATTAATAATATTTTACCATACTACTTTATTTTATCAGATATATTTTAAAAATATACTATTAATTTTAGATAACAAATGTCAAAATTATATAAAATTTAATATACATAATCATAAAGATAATGTAAAATAATTTAATAGCTAAATTGATTAATTTTGTATTTCATAAAATTATTAAATAATATATTTAATTTTAATACCTAGTGTAAAATAGATTCTGACTCCTTACAATTATGAATATAATTAGAGTATTGACTAATTTAATTCGATATGATAATTTCCACTCATTTTTCCTCTCACCATTCTTTCTATTTATTTTGTTTTTCTTAATGAAATATGAGTGTGATATAATATGGTTGTTGTTTAATTATTAACGCTTGTGAAATTGATTGTCAAGATTTTTAATATTGTTGCATAATTTTTCATAAGTTAAATGTTTCCTTTAGAAAAAATATTATAAAATCAAATTAAAAAATGCTAAAAAAGTCAACTACATTAAATAATTATTGATAAATTTATTTTCCTAAAAAAATATATGCATGCCAGTTTGCAAAAATTAAAATTTCCAACACAATGATATCTACACATAAAATAAAAAATAAAACATTATTCAATGAATTTACTCCTACGTTTCTTATCTTCTTTCATACACAATATACTCTTATTTTTAAAATGAAAACTATGCAAGTTACTATGAAGATGGGTAAATACACAAAATAGTTATAATATTTTTACTATAGAAATAGAATTTGAGAAATTGTAACTAATAAATAATTAACAAAAGAATCAAATTATTAAAATTTTAAAATAACTCATTTAATTGAGAAAAATTCAAAAATCTGAATCGTAAACACTATACCGTTATTATTAACTTTTTTCTTATGTAAAATTAAATATATAACATAATTGCCACATTAAAATAAGTATTAACGTAAGTTTAAATATTGACTTAAAATGGAAATAATGACTTAATACTAATTTTGCAAGTTTAAATATTTTATTAGATGTAACGTAAGATGTTTGTGGTTAAAGATGATTACTGATAGATATAATATTTACTTTTATGTTTATTAGAACTCGAAAGTTAGTTTATAGGTTAAGTTAGAAAACCTTCTACTAATCAATTTATGTATTTGGTGATATTTATATCTATATTTGTAATTGTAATTACGTAAGTAACAATTTTGATTATTATTTTTATTTTTGTTGGGTACCTGAATGGTCATATATTGCAGTTTTGTAAGTAAAAATGTGATTTTTCACTTTGAAATAATATTATTATAAAATAAAAAATATTCATCAAAACAAAAAATATTATGAAGAAATCAGCTAATAAAAGATTTATTTTAAAAATTGTCTTTGTTATTATATTTCTTTCATTGTAACACTATTATCTCATATTTATAATTTTTTTATTTTAGTTCCTAAATATGACATAATTTTTTTTTAATAAACAGGGCTTTAAAGCCCAAACAAATATGTCATATTTTTTTTATCATAATAAATAAATTATTTTATTTTAATATTTATTAAAAAATTATAAGAATCAAAATAAATGTGTTATGTAATATAAAAAGTATGTTACGTGTTTGAATAAAAAAAAAAGTGTTATACATAAATTTTAAAGTGAAATTTATCATCAAAATAAGTTGAAAGAAATTACAATGATTTACAACTACTTATAAAGAGTGATATGTTGGTTTAAAATAATGTTATTATAATTAATTTAATGTTGATTATTATAAGAATATGATGTTTACACAATTAAATTTTTTTAAATTTTACTTGTTATGGAAAATTAAAGAAAGAGAATGTGAAATAATTTTTTAATGTACATGTAAAAACATACGTATATGTGTTGCTATATATCATGAACTACAGTGATGATAGACACCATCCTTTTATTTCCAAAAAAAAAAAAAAAAATCATTTAGAGACTTATTTATAATTTTGTATAAGGGCCAAATTAAAAAAATACAGATTTTATACCGAAACTACAATAGTGTTTATACATTTTTATAATACCATTCACCTAAAATTAAGGTTAAAATATACTTTTATTCTATATAAATAATATTTATTTATATTTTGATTTAACCATATAACTAGAAATAATATATATTAAAATAATAAAATTAAATAATTTTAAAATATAATTTATTTTAAACTAATATATTTATCGTATAGTGTCATTTTTTTAAAATTAAATGTCAATAATCAAAATATATCAATATCCATAAATTCAAAAGACAAAATTCCTAAAAGTAAACTTTTAATTCAAAAAATTAGAAAATTTTAATATTATTTTTATAAATATAAAAATAAATATCATAAATAATATAAAAATTTATGTAAAATAATAAGAGAAACGTAAATAATAATTTTAATTTCTAAATTTTAAAACAAAATAAAAAAAGTGTAAGTAAAAAGTAAAATTATTAATGTAGCAAGAAAAATTATAATTTACACATAATTTTTAGTTAATTTTAATTATAAACTATAAAAATAAGTACCTTTCATCAATGTTTCATTTCTTAAATAGTTGACTCTATTTATAATATAGAAACTATTATTATAAAAATAGAAAAATACTCACATGACAATTTATAATTAGAGGATAATATAAAAGAATCTTTAGATCGTTGGGTATATAAATTAAATTCAACTGTAATTTCAGCAAAGTTTATTTCTAAGTTTTCTCTGAAGGTTCAAACCATAATTTTAAAGTTCTAAAAATCAAACCGATTAAAATCAACTCTCACAATGCATCACAATCAGAAGTGGCATTATCCCAACATAAGGTGTCTCAGCTTTAACGTCATGCATTTTCACTCTAGCGACAAAGTAAAAATAGGGTTGATATCGTTTTTAATATTTTTCACCTTTTTTTATTCTTTGATTTTGTTTTTTGTTAGATGGTCGTGTAATTCAAGAGATGTTGATTGTTTACTATATTGAAGGTTATAAAATATGTAATTTTTGGGAGAGAAAAACAACGATTTCTTTAGGAATTTCAGATAGAGCAGAAGAAAGAAAAATAAGAAGAAAACGGGGAAACGGGAAGTTTTCTCGTTATGATTATGTAGGAGTTTTTTAAATTTATTATTTTCAACTGAGCTTTGAAAGCATACTTATTCTCCTTTAGCTATTACTATTCTTTTTTTGAGACGTAAGTTTGCTTTAAAACTAATAGAAATTAAATGACATATTTTTTTTTGGGATCTAGGAGATAAAATGGTGAAACGAACCGATGTTGATAGTCTTGTCTCTCGATTTGAGAATGTATTTAGTAAAGAACATCAATGTAATTTGATACAAAATTGCTATAGTGGGATTTAGATTTATTTGTTTTATATGTGCATGGTGTTTCAGCTGACATGCAGTATAAATAAGTTGCATAAAATTGTCCACCTTCTTGATAGTTATTGCATATTGTGTGGAAGAAGTAGAAGGAGGAAAGTAACACCATAAATTTTGACTTCTCAAATACATTATAAATTACGTATTTTAGGAGGACATAAAATAAATTTCAATCAAAATAGACAATATAAAATTGAGAAGAGATTAAAACTTTTTGGTGGATGAATTCACTCACAAAATTAACCAAGGGAGTAAAATGTAAAAAGTAAACCGTGACTTAATAATTACATTATACTGAGATATTTAAAGAATATACAAATACTAAATTCTATTTACATAAAAATAGTATAATAATTTACAAGTTGTTAATAAAAAAGTTGTAGGGCTTAGAATAAATATTTACATAACCAAAATAAACTAAGTCCTAAGAGTAGTCCCGATCCCATACACTGAAGATTCGGTCCTAGTCATCAATATCGTGCCAGCCATTTATCTTTGTCAGATCCTCAGTAGTCAATTCTTCATTCTCTATGAGGTAGGTATCACTAGGATTCCCCACGACTTTTATACTTGAAAATCTCTAAAAAGTATGCTGAGTGAGTCTCCTAAAAAGGTCATGATCGTGAAAAGTAAAGACATTATTTACAACTCTTTGGGATCTAACTGTTCCTCGATAGATATAAAAACTAAGGATGTGATAAATATGACTATTTAAAGTGAACTCGAAAGGGACATCATAATTTAAATTTATCTCTACAGTTCATATATTATTATCCTTACAATCCATATTAAAGTTAAAATACACAACCCTTGTGAACTACCCGAATCGGGCATCATGGAATTTCCAAGAAAGGCTGTGCTAACTATGGTACTCCCTAAATTCATAATTCATTCTACCACTAACAAGATAATCTACTAATCTAAGTTGTCTTTGTGGTGCCGTCATCTTTGTTCCCTAAAATATTTAGTAAGGATGAGCATTTGGCTTATCATCAAACATAACAAAATTACATTATTAAATTACAACATACTTGTAATTATGGAATAAAAGAAAACATAACCACACTAACCACAAAAGTAATACATTAGCAATTTTTACACAATCATGTACATATTCTATCATACTCTCCTTCTAAATATGCACTCTCAGTATACTGTGATCACAGATATGCCTTCAGCACTTCTTGAGGTCTTACACAGCTAGGTAAATAGTCGTTGATTAGTCTATGCACATAGATACAATATATACAATAATGGCCCCTTAGCAAAGGTATAGTAAGAAGTATAGTAAGAAAATGAGTATGGAGCCATCTCAGAAAGAGTGTGTACACATACGCAAATGTTGCTCACAACCCTACGTTTTTCCAT